TTAGGTCTATGTAATCGATTTCATTGCCAAAACTCTACTACTTTCCTTGTATGTGGCACATGTGGTCCAAGGGAAGAAGAGAATCAAATATTTGATCAAAGAATAGTCACACTGAATTTTCTCTGCGGAAAGAAACCCTTTACACTTGATGGAAAAAGCTACAGCAGCACGAAAATTTGCTTTTCAAATTCGTGGTTGGTTTCATGTTATCTTATATAGGATAACATGACTATTGATTCCTACGTTGCTATCCCAATTTAAGAGGTTAGAATTTCAGCTAGCTTATATAACAGGAAGCTTTTAGATATCGAACAAAGGATTAAGAATGACAAAATGATACTCTTTTACACATTTCAATCTTTCATTTGCCTGATCAGGTCCTCAACTCTGAGGAAATAAAAGAGTGCAATGCATCCTCAGGTCTGATCATGACTCCAATTAACCTACAGGGACATATGCAAAATTCTTCAATTGCCACCTGCCCTCAGTATCAATGCTTCTGCACATAAATGAATACATAAACCACTCATTTGGAGATTGAAAGGAAGTGATCCAGATAGATATGGTTCTTGAGAGATAAACAAAATGAATCGATCCTAAATTCGTGATGAAAAAGATAAATTTTTGACTACAACATTTGATACCCAATGCACATGCATTAAGTAATAATGGATGAGAATTTGATGCAAGATGAACGTGTGTGATGCTAGAGAATGGTAACAAATACTTAATTTGATGATATAGGAATTTTTTTTCTTCCTGTGATTCCTGCTCTTTCTCAATTATTTGAAATCAGAACTTGGGTTAATTTCTTTCTTTTTTTTTGGTTTAAGTTTCTTGAAAATGTTGTTAGGGGGATTTTCATAAAAACATTTGACTGTTTAGAGGGTAAGTTTGTAACTCGATTAAATTACAATTTCCCTTTTTTTGTAATCTGAGCTAGCTAGCCCTAGAGAAGGTAAATGTAAAGCACAATCATCTTTGTCATTTTATTGTTCTCATTATGGGATTTGGATTCCAATATTGCAAGATAGGTAAATGTAATTTAAATTAATTCCATGGCCTTGAACAAACCTCAAGGGAGGTAAGTGAAATTAATTGGATGCTTTATGAGTTTAACAATAATAAACTTCAACAACAAAAGGGGGGAAAATCCAAGATATTCTTGTTTAATTTGCTCCGAATCTTTGAGTTACATCTTGTAAATTGAATTGTATTATAAAAATTCAAAGATGAAAGATTGAGAAGAAGAACATCATCATCCATATATAATTTGATACGTGGACTCAAGTAATTCTTCGAGTCCCTTCCCCTCCCACAAAAAAAAAAAAAAAAAGTGCGGTAGGTGTCTACTCACGTGATTAAGGGTTTTTTTTTTTTATTTCACTTTTGACTCATTTTAGACGTCTCTGCTGTTTGCAGCACATATTCACCGTTCCCGTTACATGGGAAAATTACTTAACTAAATGCAAAGGAACAAATGGGAAATATCTTAGTTCCATCAGAACAATTCATTCAGGGATAGTACCTTAGTTGGCAAAAATTTGGGCAGACTCGATTTTCAAAAATTCAGTAACTCAGATTGCATCACACTACTTAGTGAGATGGTGTGACACAATCCGAATTATTGGATTTTTAAAAATCGGATCTATCATTGTCCTGTTTGGATTGTAATTTTCTGAAGTTTTTATAAAAAATGTACTGTAACGATTTAATATATGTTAAGTAAAAAAACGATTGAAAAATGTGTTTATGAAAACGTTAAAAATTTTTTGGTGGAAAATGACTTTCTAAAAAACAATAGTACAACAGGAAAATCTAAGAATAGTTTTATGTTGTTGAAAGTTCGAGTAATGACTTCAAGAAATAACTGTAACACTCTTTATAATGTGATGTATATGAGATACAGATGCATTTAAAAATTATATTTATGACGTTAGTTGAGTAATATTTAAAATTTTGTTTTACAAATCATGCCTACCAAACGGATTCTTCATGTACTATAATCTTCTGAAATTTAGTCCACATTGATGATTTGACGTGACTTATTTAGTACAATAATGACGACTAAAACCTAGCAGAGGAAATAGAATCAATGTTTTAAAAATCGGACCGTTCATTGAACCGGTGAAGTGAAAGGGTCGAGGTTCAACCGGTCGGATCGATTCAATCTCGGTTCAATGAATTTTTTAAAAAATTATTTATATAAATATATATATGTAGAAAATAAGACATGTAATGGATTGATTTAATACTTTATATGATGAAAGGTTTACTATTTTTTAATAACTTGGATTTTTTAAAAATAAAATTTTTAAATTATAAGTTAAAACAAATAAATTTCATCTCAATTTCAATTATATCTAAATCCAACTAAAAAATATCACAATATTTTGAAATTATACAAAATTCACGTCTATGAGAATTTAGATATTGTGAACTTAAATTTTAATTTACGTTTTAGAGATTGCAATTTAAAAAAGGAAGTTTGGAGTTCGAAGGAAGTCAAGAAAATCGAAAATAGAAATGTAAACTTGATAAGAAACAAAAAATGAGATAAAAGTGAGTGGTTGTAGCATTAAATAATTTGGGTTAAAAAAATAATTCTTTTTGAACTTTTTTCAATATAATGGACAAAAACAAAATTAAAAGATGGAAGAAAACATCAATAAATTAAAAATAAAGAGGTTTGATTAAAAAGGGAGTGACAAAAAAAAAGAGGATAGAGAGAGAGAGAGAGAGAGTTGAAAATTAAAAAGAAAAGCCATGAGAGGATGAGATTTTGTAAGAAAAATGAAAAAAAGATTATCAAAAAAAACTAATAGGATGTGATGGGGCAACGGTTAATACATTGGTTTTCTATTACAAAGGTCTTGAGTTTGAATCTTGATAGCTGCATTTTGAAAAAAAAAAAAAGAAAAAAAAAAGGAGGAAGGTTGAAAACCGGTTCAATAGCTGTTCGACAGCGATTTTTACGGTTCAATCGGTTCTTGACCAGTTTTCTGATAAAATCAACTATGGCATTGAACCGGACCGGTGCCATGGCCGGTTTGCGGTTCAATCGGTCGAATCGTCCGGTCCGATCCGGTTTTCAAAACATTGAATAGAATATGGTGCAATCATGGTACAAGAGAACTAGAAGTAGACGCAATTTTCATTAAATTTCTCAAAACTATTAGATCATAGTTGACTTGAAAATTGAAGTTCAAGAGGACTTTCCTTAGTTTTTGCTGACAGATGGTACAAGATCTTATAGTTAAAGAAGGAGGAGAAATTGTTTTTGTGATATTATTAAGTATTTTATCCTTTTGACTATTTAGGATTAAAAAACGGATAATTATGTTTGATAAGAATTAATTACTATTTCTAAATGTAACCAAAGTGAATTTTTGCAATATTTGATATTTTATCTGGTGACGTTGGCAGATATTAACATGCGTAGGAGTTAGCCCGAAATTTTTTAATTTTAAATCATAAAATGGCGTTTACTTGTCCTGTTGCTATCTATCCCCAGAATAGACTATTATTCTTAATTGAATATCATTAAGTTAAATGTAAAATAATAAATAAGCAAAATTTGAATTTGAACTCTAAAATTTTGCACATGTGATAATTTTCAGAGGAAAATAATATGTGTATTTGTATAGCCATTATTTGCGCAAAAATTATTTACTTGTATCACAACTGCATTTTTCAATACATTTTTTTTATCTTTTCAACAATCTATTTATCTCACATACATCACATCATAAAAAATGATACAGTAATTATTTTAAATAATATTTCAAATAAACTCCTATCCAAACATAATAAATATTTTCCGTAAATGAATAATGGGCATTGTCCAAACCTGTATTTTCAAACTCGGACCAAACTAGTCAATTGGACCGATTGTAGATGTCCGATCTGAGTGTTTCTAACACCCGTGTGTTTAAAACTCGGTCAAATTCTATCAAAAGCCAGGTTGGACCGAAAACCAATGAAATCGGAGAGAACCGGAGTTTTTTTATTTTCCTTTTAGCTTACCTTTTTTTTTTGCCCTTTTCACTCTAACCTGGAAACCCATCTTCCTGATTTGACAAGCCGTCTCAAAAATCTGCAAACTATCTTCCTCCTTTGAAAAGAAAATAAAATAGTAAAAAAAAAATAGAGTACAAGAAGAGAGAAGTTTAAAAAAATAAGATAAAAATTTTATATTTTGTTAGTTTAAGGAGAAAAGACTATCAGCACGATGGAATCTGGAACGAAAAATGGAAAAAGAAAAAAAAAACAAAGAAAGACTCGGAAGAAGAAGAAGAAGAAGAAGTTGCAGGGGAAGAATGGAAGAGAGTGACGGCAATGTGAGTGCATTAGGCTTAAAGTCAAAGAAGAAATACGAGAAAATTTCAGTTTGGGTTCAAAGTTTTAACAATTTTATGTTTTGTCCTCTAAAGTATCTCAAAATTGTTGACATACTTAGAAATATTTTACAGTCTATAGATAGTCCTAAATTTTAGCGTTTTATTTCAAACAAATCTCCAAAATTAATTCTAAACTATGAAATAGACATTAAATCATATGAAATACTAGTTGATTATTCTATGTTATTTTTATTTTCTTGTTAAATAACTTTGAAACATCAAACATCTACTAATGTACCTTGCTTGATATTAACCTATGGTTAGACATTTTACATAACACTTTAATTTTAATTAAATTATATTAATGACATCTGACAACATCCAGTTTTTGACACTGGTTGAACTCGGTTCGATCCGTTAACCCTTAACCCCTGAATTCTACTGAGTCTTTGTCCGATCCGAGTTTCAAAACATTGATCCAAACTCAAGAGTAGAGTTTTGTTTTACTTAGGCATACGATGAGGATAACTAGTCATTCTTTGACTTTTCCAAAACATTGCATGATTTTTAACATTTGGACGGAATCTATAAATCTTTTAAATGCTACAAATGTGAATGTGTAGCTGCACCATTTTTTTGATAGAAAACTAGAGAAATTCATTAAGGTGAGGATAAGTCCGCCAAAATTGCGGAAGAAAGAAAAGGTGGTGGAGAAGAACTCCAACTACAAATATCTGAAATAGACCTAGCATTCTTAGCTAATAAGTGGGCAGGCACATTTGCCTGCCTGGGGACCCAATTAGCTTCCCATGCAGCGAAATTCTGTAAACTAAGAAAGATATCGTCTAACAGCACCCCGTAGGTTGAGTCATCAGATTCCATAAGCTTAATCATGTTAATGATCTTCAGAGAGTCGCCCTTCAAAATAATCTTGGGCACCTTCCACTGAAGCAGTAAGGAAATTGCAGTCTTTGCAGCATAAGCTTCAATGACCTCAGGGGAGAAGATACCGAAGATTTTGTGAGAGGTACCTGCAACAAAATTGCCCCACTCATCCCGCACAACAACTCCAACACCGGAGCAGCCATATTCGGAGAAAACTGCACCATCGAAGTTGGCCTTAAGGAAACCTGCAGGGGGCTTATTCCAGTGAAATTGAGCAGTGGCAGTGCGGATTGGAGTGTGTGGAGATGTGGTGGCTTCTTGGTACCTCTGTAAGTAATTGATAGAGAGGAAGACTAGACTGAGCAGATCACGATATGAACCGTCGAATAGAGCACCATTTCGGTTAAGCCAAAGGTTCCAAAGAATTATGGCTACCAATTCCATGTCTCGCTTTTTCAAGAGACGAAGAAGGCCAGGCAACCAAGTTGAAACTTGAATAGCGGAGTCCAATCTTATCTTTAGCGTAAGATAGCTGAGAGCCCTGCTTGAATTGCTACCGGGCAGCGCAGGAAAAGGTGATTAACATCTTCAACAGGGGCCTTACATAAAAGGCAGGTAGGGTCAAGATAGACGCCACGGCTATTCAACGTGGAAGATGTAGGTAGAATACCTTTGCAAATACGCCACAGGAATATCTTAACTTTACTTGGTATGTTGAGCTTCCACAAGCGAGGCCAAGTATCATTCACAGAGCCATTACTCCCTGAAGTTACATCTTGCCAGTTTGTAGATTGTGTTTTGATAAGGTGGTAGGCACTTTTCACTGTGAAGGAGCCATTGATTGAGTAATGCCGGATGAGCTTATCTTGATTTTGACTATCACCCAATGGAATACCCATAACCAGCTCAATCTCATCCTGCCAAAAAAGCTCCTGAAGCAACTCAAAATTCCATTTCCCGCTATTTCTGTCAATTAGGCAATCCACAGTGGAGTCTTTCGGCAGCACATCGGAACGTGATACAATCTTGAAAGTAGAAGGGCGTGGAATCCACCTATCTTGTGCTTTTGATGGAAGTTTGCTGGATCAGTGGTTGTAAGTGATGTAAGTGTAGCTGCACCATTGATGTTACATTTTTTGATATCCACTAGTGACTGTTTTTTTTTTTGTGTATGTTGCTTTGACTCTCACAATTGAATTGACCTCATGCTCATAAAAGACAAAAAAGAAAATGGTAACAAAAAGCTTACTCAGAATTCCATACAAAAACTAATACTAATAAAGCTCACTGAAAAAGTTATATTTTCTTTCTCTTCTTCTTCTTCTCCTTTATTGTCCTTAACAGACACACATGCTAGGACTTTATTAATTTTCAAATGGAAGTATCTTTTATGTTTTCATCAAAATAGTAGGGTGGGTAACGTAGAAATAGTAATGTACTTTCTTTCAAAAGTAGAAGTTTTTCAAACTAAGCTCTAGGAGAAGATGAATGAATGGAGAAGATGGAAGAGACATGGCAGGTGGATTGTGGAGTAGCTAGCAGCTGAGTACTCTCATTCATGCATCATTATTCCACTGGTTCAAGATGGTAAAATCATGCACACAATGTACTATTGGAATTTTAAATCAATTCTCTTTTATTTTTGTGCATTAATGTTTTTTGTGACTAAGAATCAGTAATTTATACATTTCAAAATTTCATAATGGTATATCTCCGGATTCTAATGAACCTATTTAATGCAACCTTGATATCTTTAAAACGAATCAACTAGTGTTAGGTCATAGATGGGTTGGGTACCAAACAAAATATATAGGATGCAATCCGGGCCGTAAATCAAGGATTCAAACTTTTGCGCCTACACTTAAATTCAAACAATGTGTAACAGTGCAGCCTCTCATCTAGAGGTTAGTTTTTAATTTCTCTTCTAACTCTTGTTCCTAGTGGTGTTCAAATTTCGGAAGAAGCACAAAAATCGCATCCAATCTAGATTGGGATATCGGATTTTGGTAAAACTAAAGCATATGCATTGTACAATGTTTGGTAAAACAATTCAGAAGTGGACATTGAAAATAAATTCCTGAATTTTTCGTCTAAAATTCTCATAATATAATATTATACTTACTTACATATATATATATATATATATATATATATATATATATATATATATATATATTAAACATATCATGCTTGTTTGAGCTAAAATGATTGAATTTTGTGGGGAAAAACATATGTAATTTAGTTTTGGTGCAATAAATCTTTCAGAGAACATTGAAGTTTTTTGGCTTACTACAATGACATTTCAGATTTTGAATATTATCAAAATATTGATTCTCTAGCCGAAATCTAATTACCAATATCTGAATTACCAAATTAAAGTTTGCATGACAATCAAACGTTGGTCTTGGAAGGAAAAAAATTTAAAAAAAAAGCTACAACTTTTTTTTATTACTACCCCATGAACACCTCTACCTTTAGGTCCAATTGAGCCCTTCTCTAAAATAAGTTAGGGGTTTTTTTCACCAACTTTTTTTTTTTTTTTTTTTTTTTTTACTGGGAGATCTTGAATCCAAAACTCTTATTGACAATTCTTCCCACCTTACTACCTATGTAGATGTTGTAAATTAATCCAGAAAAAAATGTCATCCAATATCAACTCATGCTACATACGTAATAGCGAAGCAGGTGTTTTCAGATGCAATTGAAAATTGTGTATTTAACTAAACCAATCTATGTACCAATAGGTCTTGGAGTCGAGATTTTTTTTATTTTCAATATGGTTAATGTGCTATAGAGAAAAGGGCATTAATCTCTTGACCATGTGCTATGTACTACACTTACCATCTTATAGGAATTTTATGTTGTTCATTGCTTTCTTTAATTTCTACAATTAAATTATTGTCATGTAAGTGTTTTGCAACCAATATGTTGAACTTGTCCGGTATATCAACTGAGAATAGTTTTGGAATAAGATAGGTCAAACTATAGTTATCTTTCCTCAATATGAAGGGTTTTTTTTTTTTCAAGCAAATATGAGCTCTAGATAACAGGATATTAGCCGTTACCTTTTTTTAAAAAAAAAAAAAAAAAAAAAGAAGAAGCTTGAGGCTTGCAGTTTTTTGGTTCAAGGGGTGTGCATTTAAATATTATATTGATCATAGAATAGGCATAATAGAAAAATACGAGTGCTTTGCACCTGTACTAATTTAACTATCAAAGTTTAAGTTGTTTTAAAAGTCAAAAGTAATTATATTGGATTTTGGTGTAGATCTGTAAGTTGTATAAACAGATATGATGATTATAAGTTTAGATTTGATATTAAAAGTAGAGATATAAATTAAAAAGGATCAAAGTGATTTTTGATCTTGATTTTACATTGAATATTTAGCTAAAAAATCTAAAAAACTGGTTTACAGTGTTGTTATGGAGTCAATATAAAAAATATAAAAATATAATTACACAATCGCGAGGGCACCCGCAAGGGTATGGGGCAGCTCGAGGTAGGGGGAGGAGCCAGAGTAGAAAAAGCGAAAAACGGTGCAAGGGCTTTGAATTCTCTGTCTCCAAAGTAGTCTCTGTCCCATCCGTCCCTTATTTGTATAGCTGCCACGTGTCTCTAATCTTTTGTTAGCCCAAACTCAAATAAATCGATAATAATCGATTTACAAATTTACTCAAAATCAATTAAAACAGATAACTCAAAACTTTTTTTTTATTTTTTTTAACAAAAAAGAGTCTTATTGATCATAAACATAGAAATCAATTAATAGACGACGGAACTCAAGGGTGGGAGGATATTTTAGAACACGGGGCAAGGGAAGGAAGAAAGATTCTCCGTCCCACTCCTGCCTCATTGTCATCCCTAAAAATTTAGATATATTAACAAAGCCGTTGAGGGTATCGCTAGACAAATCCATCATTTATATCTAGTGCATAAATTGGAGTTCCGTTTACTAATGTGTAAAGATTCCCATATGGACCAATGTAGGAAAGAGCAAAAGGAAGAGGCACAAAGTAGGCTATTTACCAAAAAACGCAACAATAATGACATATTAGCTAGCAAGTCCTCACACACTATTGTTCCGATTAAGAATTTGTATATTGATAAAAAACATTTACCAGTCTTACGTATTTATTTTCATCATACATAGCTAGATTTATGCTTAAGCTGCAAATTTCTTTAATCATAGGCTAATGAGGTAAATCCAACAAAGAAAAAAAAATCAACAAAGCAAACAACATCAAGCTATTTTTATAATACTAGTATAGATATAGACTTGAAAAAAAATTCTCAACCTCACCCCATATTCTCTTCTCCAGGACCTTCGAAGAGTTTTGAACTTAGGGCCCTGAAATTCATTAATGACAATTGAACCAACGTAATTGGTAACGTATCAGCGACACGATTATTGATTTTCAATCTTCCTTAATTGACCAAATATATTTATTTCTTTATTTTTTTTTTAAGAAAAGCATATCTTTTGGGCATAGGTAGTTTTCTAATAATAGGATTTTTTTTGGGTAAAATCAGTGGCTGTTGTGGAAGATACTGCAATGCATTCATGGGGCAAAGAACATCACAGCTGATTATGTATCAGACAGCTACAGCTTCAGGACTGTTACATTCATTTGAACTAATTATATGGCATTCATTTAATATTGTAATTTATTTTGAACACAATATAAATTTAGAATAATAATATACGGGTCTAGCTCATAATTTAAAAAAAAATAATCTTATGTTTTTTAAGATTTTAAAATCCAATCATGACTATAAACCTTTCGAACCAAAACTTTCCTCGTCCGGAAAATGGGTCAAAACGACTGTCTGTGAACGGTTCATGACCATGATTGACCAAAAAAAAAAATGTAAGGTTCAGATAGCTGTATATGCATTATTTTTGACACCACGTGTGGAATCTATAACAATTTGTTCTATATTTAATTTATGTTCAAAGTGAATTAGATCTTGAAAAATAGATATACATTTTATAGAATTGAACAAAATTAGTACAAACGGTTATCAGACAACTATTTGTGCCCCAAATCCTCGTGTCCCTATCTCCTTACGACCTTGAAGGTAGTTATCACCGGGCATGGCAGATGCATCCGATCCGGGCAATCCGAGTGGCAGCCTACATCGGGCCGCATCAGCTTGTTTCCAATTTGTTTATTTATTTATTTATTGTTTTCCAAATTTAATGGCCCAAATCGGGCCAAACGTTATGCCAGAGCAATCGTACCATTGGTCATTGATCGACAATGACAAAATTAATCCATCCACGTCGGAAGATCGCGGGGTTTTTATCCTAGATTTAAGGTTCATGGAGTGCTCGTCCTGTCACCAATTGATTGGATCGGGTTGCTCTGTGAATCCTCCTTAGATTGCTTATTTATCGGGCCGATTTATCGTTAACTCTCGTGCTTGTTTCAGTAAAAAGACA